GTGGCTGTGGTTTGGGAAAAAGCATTGATCTGGAATTTAGAACCCAAGGATTCTAGTCCTAAATCTGCCACTAACTAGCTCTATGGCCTTGGTCTCTATTTATATTCTACAGTCCCTGTTTCTCATCAATAAAAATAAGATCACACTAGTTCAATCTGAGAGCCTTCCAACTCTAAAATGCAATACCTTAGCCCTGAATACAAATACTTAGTTAAGTTCAATTTTCCCCACTCTCTGTTTCCAAGCTAACATCATTGTTGATTTTTTTTTCTTAGATTTTTAGCAACCTGCCCCAGTATAGATTCTTCTTGTACTAGGGCTGGTACAAGAAGGCATCAAAGACCAGGGAGCAGAATTGTTTACACAATGCTGATTTAATGTAACTTATGGGCACAAAAAAAATCAGTCTCTCTTTTTTTTTTTTTTTTTTTTTTTTTAGACAGAGACTTGCCCCCTGCCCTGTCCCCAGGCCTTCAACCTCTGCCTCCCAGGTTCAAGCAATTATCCTGCCTTAGCCTCCTGAGTAGCTGGAATTACAGGAGCACATTACCACACCCAGCTAACTTTTTTCTTTTTTTTTTCTTTTTTTTGGCATTTTCAGTAGAAACAGGGTTTCACCATGTTGGCTAGGCTGATCTCGAACTCCTAACCTCAAGTAATCCACCCACCTCGGCCTCCCAAAGTTCTGGAATTACAGGCATGACCCACCATGCCCGGCCTAGAAAGCAGTCTCTTCACTGAAATTCATTTATATAATCCAAAAATTTCTTTATAATCTGGCCTTCCAATACTGCTCTGATTTCATCTCCTCTTTCCAATCATGGACTCCTTTTCAACTGCCTCCTTACTGGTCCTCTGTCACACCAAACAGACTCCTGCCCTCAGAGGCTTTGTACCTTTTATGCTCCCTACATAGAATATCTTCCTTTCTCATAACTGCCTAGTTTGAGCTCTCACTTTCTTCAGGTTTTCATTAAAAAGTCACTTTTTCAATAACACCTGCCCTCATCATCCTTTCTGCCCACTCACCATTTCATATCCTGCATCCCGACTTTATTCTCTCCCGAACATTGATCATAATCTAATTAATTATTTATCTTGTTGATCATCTGTCTTCCCCATTATAATGTAAACCCAGTAAAGACATTTTTTTGGTCTGTTTAATTCCCTTCCATATTCCAAGTACCTAGAGTAGTGCTTAGGATATTGGAGGCAGGTAATAAATATTTGTTGAACAGATGAATAAGCCCTCATGTCTCATCTCTCTCCCCCTAACTCACTGTGCTCCAAACACACTTGTCTTCTCCTTCCTTATCATGCACACCAAACATCCTCTCCCTCAGAGCCTTTGTATTGTATTTCCTTCTGCCTCAGATCTCCTTTCAAAGATATCCATATGGGTTTTTTCCCCACATTTTACTCAGATCTATATCCAAATGTTATCATGTTCAAGAAGCCTTCTCAGGTCAAATTATCTAAAATGTCAATCTCATTTTTCATACAGTTTTCTTATACTTTTTTTCCCTTTATAAACGTGGCAGTGGTGGAACTAAGCCACTCATCTCTTTCAAAAGAACTTTCTTGAGGAGCAAACTGACTGACAGTCCCAACTGTCTGTATTCACCTCTGCGTTCTCTGAGGCCAAGCCTTCTCCAAGATGTTCCCAGCCACTATTTGAGCACAGCAGGAATAATACTATAAGACTATTCCTGATGACTCAGGACTCCTCTAATAGGCAACTTGGGCTCAGGAACTACCCATTGACTTAGCTGAAACTTCCTTAAAACTGCTACAATCTGAGATTCTTCTTTCCTAAATCTTCTTCCTTCTCCCTTCCATTCCACAGGCTTCAGTCATAATAGCCTGAAGCCTCTCCTGTCTAGTCCTATTCCTTCCCCTTTATCTTTCTCGGGTATCTCCCCCTGTAAATCTCATTCTTATACCATCTAATTCTGTCTAGGTGTTTGCTTCTTGGAGCGCCTGAATTAATACAATAAAACTTATAGCACATTCAATATTTGTTTATTTTTAGTTGTTCATCTCTACCTCATGAAGGTAGAGACTTGGCCTGTTTTATGAACTACTAGATCTCCAGCATGTAGAATGATGCTTGCAAAGACCAAATATCTTTGGTAGACAAATATTACTGCTATATATTATTTCACTCATTTGTGAAAGAAAATAATGAGTGTCTAGTATGTTTTAGGCACTATGTTAAGTGCTCAGTAGATCAAAGGTCTAGTGGAAGAGATAAATATATAAACGAGTAATTATAACTCACTATGTCAAGGATTTATTAAAAGTATTCACAAATGTATGGAGCACAAATAACTTCATAAACAGTTAATAATTTAAATCCTATACATGTTTAAGGTAAAGTATTGTTAATATCCTATGAACAATACAAAGGGTAAATCAACCCCAACAAGTAAGCTCCCTTGTCTCAGCCAAGACCTCCTCAGAAGTAAGGTGTCCCTTGTGAAAATTTTCTTCAGGTATATAAAGTGAAGTGAAGGCTATTCCTTGTTGTATAAGAGTACCCTGCTCAATATTACACTGATTGGCTAGGTAAAAAAGGTAAATAAGTTTGTCATTCTATGCCCTAGGAAAACAATCTGTGAACCAGATAAATTATTGGAACTTTTCTAGCTCAAGCCTCAAAAAATGGTCCCACGCATATATCACCTATTCTATGAACACTTATCATACCCTCACTACTCGGCCAGGTCACTCCTTTTATATGTGGAAGTACTCTGTGCTTCTCCTTCCTAGCATTTACCAAAAGTGTAATTTATTAGTCATTTGGGAGCTATCTCATTAGTAGATAATAAGCTCCATGAGAGAACAACATCTATTATATTAACTGCTATATCTCCATTGCCTGGCACGGAAAAAGGTCTCAATATTTCTTGAATGGCTATATAAAATAATGACTGATTAATTAAATGAAAAGTTTTTGCTTATCTACCTGTGAAAATTATCTCCCTCATCGAAATTTCCATTGCATTTTATCTATTTTCTTACACTCCCCCTCTATCCATCATATATCCATATATCCCACCATATATCCCCTATATCCATTCATGATGTAGATATAAACTTTAAAAATAAAGAATAGTATGCCTCGAACCCTCTAGTCACAGATAAAATGTAAATCTTTGGATTCAGTTGCTCTTGAGATCAGTCATTCATCCTTCCCAGATGTTGACCTCCCCAATCGAGATTTGAAGGTGACTAGTAACAGTCCTCTGATTTCCACTCAGTCCCTCTCCCCTCTCCCTTTACCCTTTCTTTCTCCATCTCTTTTTTCTCTCTCTATCTTCCTCTCTCTTTATAAAAAGTTATGAAGGCAGAAGCATAGTAAAAAATGAATGGATTTTGAGTTAGAAATTCTACTTAGTCTGAGATCCATTTCTATCTCTTCCATCACAACAGATTTGCTGATCATTGAGGACTGACTGCTGCCTTACAGGAAAATAACCATTAATATTAGGAAAAGCCTAGAGAGAGGAGAACCAACAAATCTCTAGTTGAGTAATTTAATCTAACCTGAAAATCTGTAGCAATCAGGCCTACAAGAATAACAAAAACTAATGCTCAGCATTTCTGTATCTGCTATCAAAAACCATCAAAGCACTCTCACATCTACTATCTCCTTATTTTCCCTCACTACAATCTTTAAGTGCTAGGCAACTAAGGCATTGAGAAGTTAAATGATCTGCCCAAGGTCACACAGCTAATTGATGACTCATATCTCAATGTTTTTTCTATTAAGCAGCAGGGAGGTAAGTTGAACATCCGATCATATAAAAGACTTAGCTCATACTATTACTTCAGTTGTCTATGTCTTTAAGGCATGAAATTAAGAAGTAACCAGATAAAGTAAGGTGAAAACTGCTACTGCTTTTGCTACAAACTGTGAGTAGGTAGGCTTTGCTGTAATTATAGAAAATAAATATCTGATTTAACTCCCTTATTTCTTTACTGTCTGGATATTTGGTAATATTTGATAGGACCACAAAGGCATAAAATGAAGAAAGAGGAAAGAAAAAAAATCATATAGATAAGTGTATAAACATTAGAATTTGACACAATGATTCCAAAGGATCTCTCAGAGTTAAGGTAGATGCTGTCGATGAAAAGAGTCAAATTCTGTAAAATATTTGAAGAAATTTATTCTGAACCAAATAAGAGTGATCAATGGCCCCTGACATAGCCCTTAGGAGATACAGAAAACATGTGCCCAAAGTGGTCAGGCTACAACTTGGTTTTATACATTTTAGGGAGACATAAGGCATCAATTAATATATGTAAGATGTACATTGGTTTAGTCCAGAAAGGCAGGACAACTGGAAGCAGAGTGGGGGTGGGGGTGGAACGCTTCCAGTTCATAGGTGAATTCAAAGATTTTCTCATTGGTACTTAGCTAAAAGAATTATCTAAAGACCTGTAATCAGAGAGGAATGTCTGGGGTATGAGAAGGGGTTGTGAAAACCAAGCTTTTATCATCCAGATGAAGTCTCCAGGTAGCAGGCTTCAAAAAGAATAAATTGTAAATGTTTCTTATCAGACTGAGAGAGTCTATCAGCCTAAGGTCTCTGTGTTGATGTTAATGCTGGTCAGCTGTGAGGCGTGTCTGACCCATCCCCCTGCAGTTCTGAACTACCAGTTGATTTCTAGGAGATTCTAGTATGCTGTCTTAATTAGAACTTTTCTATGTCTCAACTTTGGAATGCCCTTGGTGGACACGAAGGGTATGTTCAGGTGGTTAGGGGACTTAGAATTGTATTGGTTTACAAGACATTAAGAGGACTTCAGGGTCCTGCCTTAAAAGGAACCTTAGACAGAAGGTGATAGTACAGTGGAAGAGCAGAGAAGAAAGTGGGAACAGGTCACATTGCCATAGGCCTCAGTTCATATTTCTAACCCAAACCCCTAAGAGTAAAGAAGATAAGGTCTGCATCTTACCTGCTCCTTTGGAATCTCCTCCTTCTCATTATAGTAGGTTAGTTCCAGGGCTCCGTTAAACTTCAGGGTAGAACAAGAAAATTACTTCAGCCCATGCTGCTCACTCCTACCATGCCCCATTGTGAACCCCATAAAAGCTGAATATGGAGATTTCTCATCTTCCCAGTCTCTAGGGTCTACCCTCTCCTTTCAACTCCTACTATTCTCTCTATAGCTCAACTCCTTTTCAGCTCTGGTCTTGATTATTAGCTGGTTCTTTTTACTTCCTCCAGTCTCAGCCACTCAAATCATTGCTTGACACCATTTCAAAACTCACATTCCTGAAGCAGATAGTTGATCTCTATAACACCTTGCAAAATTATTTGAAAATTTCTCAACTAAATAAAGAATACGGTTGAAATTCCTCAACTTTATATGCAACTCTTACCCAGCTCTCCCTACACGTCCCTGCCCACTACCAATATATATATTCCACTGTAGCCAATTAAATTCACAAACCTGACTTGCATTTACTCATCTAACACTATGCTCACACTTTTCCCAGAGCCTAGTGTATCTTCCCACAAGTATCTACTTCTTTTCTTGTGGTCTATATTTCCCCTCTCACCTGAATTTCATCTTGATTTTAAAATATCCTATGCAGGTCTCCAAGACTTCTTAGCTTCAGGTGATAAGGCTTAGCTCAGCACTTTGGATATCCACATAAAAGTATCTTTAAACTTTTGTTAAATATATCTCCTTAAATTAGGAAACTTGATTTTTTTATACACATACAAGACCAATAAATACTCTGTAATAAATATTCTGTTTCTAAGAGCCCTGTAACTAAGACTTCTCCATTTATTTGCCTGGGTGCTCTGGATGCTAAATCTTTTATCAAAAATAGAGTGATTTGTGGGTAAGACAAATTGCTCCATAATACTTTCACAATGAGAACTTATCCAAGTCAGATCTAGCCCCAAATATCAATTCCCTGTGCATTTGTATTCTGACGAATCTATCACAGTGACCTATTTTCATACCAGTGACTAAGTTAAGAATGTGATTGCTTTTGAAAGAAACTGAAATAAAAATTCCAAGAATGGTGTTAGGAGAAATGAATAAATCAAACATGATTTTCTGCAAACACAGGTTCATAATATAAGCCTGCTAAAACATTTGTGTATTTTCAGAATGGGAGGAGGTGTTTGATGTTATAAGTCCATTATGTCTGAATAAAAAAATCACAGACCAGTTCAGTCTTTTTAATGACATTATGGGTGCTTACTGATTTTTTGCTAATGGTTACTGATCAAACAAAATTTAAAATATAAACGTTTGCTGAATCCTGTGAAAATCTCCTTTTCTCAAATACTTTCATTCCATTTATTTAACAGTTATATATGAAGAACACATTCTGTGTGCTGAAGGAATTCAGAGTATGCCACCTCAAAATATTCCACTTTGACCTAAGGATTATTTCAAGCTGAAGGCAATTGAGAAAAAGCAGACAAAGAGCAAACTCTGTCCTCACCTTTTCTACAAGGAAGGGCAAGATGATTTTTAATTATAGGAGACAATTCTAGACTCTTAACCCAAAGATGTCCCAGAAGAATCTACATAACAAAATCTTATTAAAACAACCCTTATCTTCCATTAGTTTCCTCATATAGTTACAGTTTGCTACCCCTAAAAGCCTATTTTTCCTTGTCTTGTCCCTTCTCTACAAATTTACTGTTCTTTGTTAAAATGCTACATAAACCCAAGTTCCTACCACCCCTTTGAATTACACAATGTATGCATTAATGAACTTAGTTTGTTTTTCTCTTATGTCTTTTGTCAATTTAATTTACAGGGAATGAACCTAAGGAGGTAGAGAGGAAAAGGTTTCTTATCCCTTATTTACAGTTTCAAGGACTTAAAATATACACAATGCTTGTCTTCAAGGATCCTAGATTCTAGTGAAGAAGGACAATTAAACAGATCATTTTGATATAAAAATAATTTGGAAGTTAAAAAAAAAAGGAAGCACAGACAGGCACAATGATGTGCATTTGTAGTCCCAGCTACTCCAGAGGCTGAGAAGAGAGGATCTCTGAACCCAGGAGTTCAGATCCACCCTGAGCAATACAGTGGAAACCTGATCTCAAAAATAATAGTAATGATAAGGAAAGAAAGTTCTTAAAAAGCAGGCAATTAGACTTAAAACGACAAGAAAGTCAGTAGGCTAACACCGGATCATACAAATAGCTAGTCTTGACCCCTCCAGACTTTACGTTCCTACTTATTTATAGCAAAGGCAGAAAATAGGCCATTTTATTCATGGAAATAATGTAAATGACCTAAAAAAATCAACAGGATTAAAATCCAATAGTAAGACTACAGAAATATTTAATGTCATTAATTTATCTTTAGTGTTTGTTGTTCATTTATTTATATCTCTGACAAAAGCTTTTCACCAGCAATTTTGCACCAGGTTGGTAGGCAGTTATGGGAGATTCCTAGGAAAGTTATACAGGTTCCATACTGTAAGTTATTTAAAGTCTTGTAGAACTTCAAATCATTTTTTCATGACATTAGCATGTTTGAAAAAATGGGAACAATTTGATTTAGGTGGGTACCTGAATATAAATGTGAATCGCAGAATCTTAGGGTCAGTCACCTAGTTGAGAAGTACCCTTATGGTTAAAATACCTTTTCTTTTTTGGAGGGGGCGGGGGGGAGATGGAGTCTCACTCTGTCGCCCACGCTGGAGTGCAGTGGCTCAATCTCGGCTCACTGCAGCCTCCATCTCCCGGGTTCAAGCAATTCTCTGCCTCAGCCTCCTGAATAGCTGGGATTACAGGTGCCTGCCACCATGCCCAGCTAATTTTTGTATTTTTACCAGAGACAGGGTTTCACTATCTTGGCCAGGCTAGTTTTGAACTCCTGACCTCATGATCTACCAGCCTAGGCCTCCCAAAGTGCTGGGATTACAGGCGTGAGCCACCACGCCTGACCTAAAATATCTCTTATGATAATTAATATTTGTATAGTACTTCATAAGAGTTGAAAACTCATAAGACTTAAATATTTTATTTCATTTTATCCCCAAAACAATATTGTGATATTGGTAAAGCAAATATTAACTCACAAAGGAGGAGAGTAAGATTCCAAAAGATAAAATTACAATTTTTTTAAAAAAGGAATAGAACTATGATATGAACTCAAACTCAAGATTTTAATCCAATATGTGTTCTATTACCACTCAATCCTTTAAAGGTCACACCTTTAAAATGAATATATCGCAGATCCTACCATCACCCAGATTCTCTCTCTCACACACACAGCTTCAATCATGCACACAGAGTCAATTATACACAATTGCTAAAACATGAAATTCTGAATTGCAAGTCTTTGCAATGACTCCCACCTTAAAATACAATACATCATTTTATAAGGAAGCCTCCCTCCTTTTCAATCGTTGTCCAAAACCAATCAATTAAACACCAGAGTCAAGATAACTTTTGAAATTCCAGGCAATTCTGAACTACCAGTTGATTTCCAGGAGATTCTACTATGCTGTCTTAGTTAGAGCCTTTCTATGTCTCACCTGAATTATCCCAGCTTATGCCTATGCAACGTACTCCAGCTGAAACCACTCAATCACAAGCACAGCTGAACTCAATTCAAGCATTTTCTAAATTACACCACATTCTCTCCTGATTCCATCCCTTTGCACACACTTTCCTCTGCCTGCAATGCTATTCCCTTCCCTATATATCTGGTTTATTTAAAAGTTACCTCTTCAGTTGCTTTTGGGGACTTTGTCAAAAATTTTTACCAAGGCCAATGTCAGGAGGAGTATTTCCTAGATTGTCTTCTAGGATTTTTGAAGTCTTACATGTTTTTAAAGGCTTACATTTGAATCTCTTATTCCCTTTGGATTAATATTTGTATATTTTGAAAGGCGGGGGTCAAGCTTCAGTCTTCAGCATATGGCTATTCAGTTATCCCAGCACCATTTATTGAATAGGGAGTCCTTTCTCCATTGCTTGTTTTTGTCCACCTTGTCAAAGATCATACAATTGTAGGTGTATGGCTTTATTTCTGAGTTTTCTATCCTGTTCTGTTGGTCTATCTGTCTGTTTTTGTACCAGTACCAAGGAATGGCAACAAAAACAAAAATAGTTAAGTGGGACTTATTAAACTAAAGAACTTCTGGACAGCAAAATAAACTGTCAACAGAGTAGACAGCCTACAGAATGGAAGAAAATATTCACAAACTATGCATTGAACAAATCCAGAATTTGTCCTATGCAAGGACAAATATCCAGAATCTGTAGGGAACTTAAATAAATCAACAAACAGAAAGCAAATAACTTCATTAAACAATGAGCAAAGGATATCAACAGACACTTCTGAAAAGAAGACATACAAGAAGCCAAAAAACATCTGAAAAAAATGCTCATTATCACCAATCATCAGAGAGATACAAATCAAAACCACAATGAGATATGATCTCACACCAGTCACAATGGCTATTATTAAAAAGTCAAAAAACAACCAATGATGATGAGACAGTGGAGAAAAGGGAACACTTATATACTGTTGTTGAGAATGTAAATTAGTCCAGCCATTGTGGAAAATCGTCTGAAGACTTCTCGAAGAACTTAAAACAGAGCTACTATTTGGCCCAGTAATCCCATAACTAGGTACATACCTAAAAGAAAATAAATCACTCTACCAAAAAGACACATGAACTCATATGTTCCTGGATGCACTATTTACAATAGCAAAAACATGAAATCAACTGATGTGCCCATCCATGGTAGATTAAATAAAGAAAATGTAGTGTGTGTGTGTATATATATATATATCATGGAATACTATACAGTCATAAAAATAAAGAAATCATGTCCTTTCCAGTAACGTGGATGCATTTGGAGGCCAGAGTCCTAAGCAAATTAACACAACAAAACCAAATAGCAGAAAACCAAATACCACATGTTCTTACTTATAAGTGGAAGCTAAACAGTGAGCACACATTAACATAAATATGAGAACAATAGATGCTTAAGACTACCAGAGAGGGAGGCAAG